CCCAGGTGGCCGTCGACTTCAAGGAGGGCTCCTTCGGCCTCCTGCCGGAGAACGCCCCCACGTGGCGCCACGGGGGTTGTGGCGCGGCGCTGGCCCGCCGCCCACCGTCCGGGGTCGTGCCACGCCACGGGCCCCCCTTCCCTCAGGAGGGAAAAAGCACACAGACACAACTAATCGTCGATCCCCAGGAAAAGATGGAAAAATATGGGAAGTCGGGGGAAGACACAAACCTAGAAAATATGGGAAAATATGGAGAATCCTTTTATTTGTGTGCATTTATTTGTGTGTCTCAGGGCCCCTTCATTCCCGCAGGGCCCGTTTCGATCCGATCGATGCGACTCGGTGGCCATTTCGGCCGGCTCGACCCGAGGCTGCCCGATTCCTGCATGCAGTCGTTCTTCAGTATCGGCACAGTGGGCGTTGGCGGACGGGCGCTGCATGCGTGGTTTCGGCTTGTGAGCGCGAATCTGTCGGCCAAGCAGCTGGTTTCGGTGGACGCAGAAGTCCTCTATGGGGATTGGCATTTCGCCGGAGATCTCTTCCCCAATCTACGACAGGCGGTTGGTTGGTTGGGGCCGTTGGTTGCTTTTGGGTAGTTTGGGTCGGTCTGTTGGCTGGCTGGCTGGTTGGTTGGTTGCTCGGCTGGTCGGTTGGTTGGTTGGCTGACTGGCCAATGGGTTGGTTGGTGGGTTGGTTGGTTAGTTGGTGAGCCGGTTGGTTGATTGGTTGGTTGGCTGGTTGGTTGGTTGGTTGGTCAGTTGGCCAGTTGGCTGGTTGGTCAGCTTGTTGGTTTGTTCGGCGGCTGGTTGGTTGGTCGATCGGACGGTTGGCTGGCTGTCTGGCTGGCTGAGTTGGTTGGCTGGCAGGCCGAGTGGATTATTCAGGCGCGTTGGCTCGAGCCTGCACCCACCAGCGCCCTGTGCCGCGCAGAGCGCGTAGCGCGTAGCGTACGAACAAACAAAGGCATGTCGAGCTCGCTCGCTGCAAAGGGCACAAGTTGGGGAAATGGATCGAACAAGGAAGCGCGCGCAGGGCGTAGTGCCAGATGGGGAAGTAAACAACTGACACACCTCGCTCGCTGAATGGGCGAGGTTTGGGGGAAGCAAGAGCAAGAGGAACAGCGCGCCTATGTCATGCGACGCCCTGCGACGCCATGCGCCACGATAGGCACGAGATCCAGGGGGCACAAGTACATACGTATGTATGTGTTTACGTATGCATGCATGTATGGCATACAGGCATGTATGTAAGTATGTATGTATGAATGAATGACTGTGCGTATGCATGCATGTATGTGATGCATGCATGTGTGCATATGTATGTATGTATGTATGTATGTATGTATGTATGTATGTGTATGTATATATGTATGTATGTATGTATGTATGTATGTATGTATGTAGGTATGTATGTATTTATGTGTATATGTATGTATGTATGCATGCATGTATGTATGTATGTATGCATGTATGTATGTATGTCTACATGTTTGCATGTATATGCCTATATGCCATGTGTGTATGTATGCATGTATGTATGCAATGCATGCATGCATGTATGCATATCTGTATGTATGTATGTATGCAGATATGTATACATGCATGCATGCACGCGTGCATGCATGCATGTATGTATGCAGAATTGCATGTATGTGTGTATGTATGTACGCATGTATGTATGTATATATATATATATGTATTTGTGTATGTATGTGTGTGTATGTATGTATGTATGTATGTATGTATGTATGTGTGTATGTATGTACGTATGTATGTATGCATGCATAGACGTATGTATATATGGATGGATGACTGGATGTATGTATGCATGCATGCATGTATGTATGTATGGATGCATGTGTGTATATTTGTATGTATGTATGTATGTATGTATGTATGCATTCATTTGTGTCTATGTATGTATGTAGGTATGCATGCATGCATGCATGCATGCATGTATGTATGTATGTATGTATGTATGTATGTAGGTATACATGTATGTATGTATGCACACATACATGCATACATGTTCGCATTTATATATGTATGTGTATATATGTATGCCTGTATGTATGCATGTATGCATGCATGCATATATGCATGCATGCATGTATGTACGTACGCATGCAGGTTTGTTTGTTTGTAGGTATGCGTGTATGTATGTGTGCATGTATGTAAGTATGTATGTCTGTCTGTCTGTCTGTCTGTCTGTCTGTCTGTCTGTCTGTCTGTCTGTCTGTTTGCCTGTCTGTCTGTCTGTCTGTCTGTCTGTCTGTCTGTATGTATGTATGTATGTAAGAGCATGTAAGTCACATTCCGTATGCGCGTGCGTACATATCTATGTATATATACATACATATATGTATCCCGGGGGATGAGGCTCCCTGGCCACGCCCAGGAACCTCTCCAGGTCATGGGGGGACTGGGCCTCTGGGGACGCCCCCAGACGGCCCAAGACAACCCTCAAAACAGAACACCAGGGTCCCCAGAGGCCCCAAAACGCTCCAAGAGGGCCGAGGATCGCCGAAATCCTGCTCCAAGACTCCCACGATGGGTTCCAGACGGCCCAAGGAACCTTCAACACGCCTCAAGAAGCATCCCAGAGGCCTCCCAAAAGGGCCCCAAGAGGCAACATTCTATGATTTCACGGAGGTTTTTGCTTGGCTTCAGCGTTTCTGCATCTTCAGCTTCCAGACGCCCCAACACAGTCCTAGACGCCCCAAGTATCGCCCCAGCGCGGCCTCGGAGGCCCCCAAGCGGCCGCCGAGACAGCCGACAAAGGCGCTTTATGGGGATCCCAGGCCTTCGGGGACGCCCCCAGGTGGCCGAAGACAGCCCCCAAAACAAGATGCCGGGGCTCCAAGGGGCCCCAAAACGCCCCTTGCGGGCAGAGAATCGCCGAAATCCCGCTCCAAGACGTCCACGATGGCTTCGGACGGCCCAAGGAACCTCCAACACGCCAAGAGGGCCCCAAGAAGCAACATTCCATGATTAGCCTTCGGTTTTCGGTTGATTTCAGCGTTTCTGTATTTTCAGCTTCCAGACGGCCCGACACTGTCCTAGACGCCGCAGGTATCGCCCCAGCACGGCCTCAGAGGCTCCCAAGCGGTCGCCGAGACAGCCGCGGGGACGCCCCCAGACGGCCCAAGACAGCCCACTCCACAATAGGACGCCAGTGCTCCAAAGGACCCCACAACGCTCCTTGAGGGCCGAGAATCGCCGAAATCCAGCTCCAAGACGCCCGCGATGGCTTCGAGACGGCCCAAGAGGCCTCCAAGACGTTCCAAAACGCCCCCAAGAGGCCTCCCAAGAAGGCCCCAAGAGGCAAAGCAAATTAATTTTCTCACGGTTTGGATGGATTTCAGCGTTTCTGCATTTTCGGCTTCACGACGCTCCAACACCGTTCTCGACGCCCCAAGTATCGCCCCAGCGCGGCCTCAGAAGCGCCCAAGCGGCCGCCGAGACGGCTGAAAAAGGCGCTTGTAGGCGTCCTGGACCTCGGGGGACGCCCCAGAGGACCCAAGACAGCCACCAGAACAGGACACCAGGGTCCCAAGAGGCACCAAAACGCTCCAAGAGGGCAGAAAATCGCCGAAATCCCGTTCCAAGACGTCCACGATGGCTTCCAGACGGCCCACGGGGCCTCCTTCACGCCTCAAGAGGCCCCAAGGAGTTTTCCAATTGATTATCCTGAGGTTTTTGATGGATTTCAGCGTTCAGCGTTTTTCCATTGTCGGCTTCACGACGCTCCAACACGGTCCTAGACACCCGAAGCATCGCCCCAGCACGGCCTCAGCGCCCCCCAAGCGGCCTCCAACACGTCCCCGGCCCAAGACAGCCCCCCAAACAGGACGCCAGTGCTCCAAGGGGCCCCCCAACCGCCCCTTGAGGGCAGAGAATCGACGAGATTCCGCTCCATGACGCGGACGATGGTTTCCAGAAGGCCCAAGAGGCCTCCAAGACGCTCCAAGACGCCCCCAACAGGCCTCCCAAGAGACGCCCAAGAGGCGCAACGTGATGGATTGTCCTTTCAGTTTTGAAGGATTTGGGAGTTCTTACCTTTTCGGTTTGGAGTCCTGAGCCGTAAGTATCGCCCCAAGACGGCCTCAACTGCCCCCAGGCGGGCGCCGAGACGGCCTAAAAGGTGCTCCAGACGGTCTTGGAGGCCTCGCGGGCGCCCCTCGAGATCCGCCGCGACGCGCCTCCGAATCTTCCAGCGGCTGTCGTCGTCGTCGCCGCGTCGTCCAAAATCGGGTTTGCAATCGGGAACGTTTGCGGTAAAACCTAAGCGAGCGCGAAGCTGCGCGGTTGAGACCAATGCTGGCGACGGAAGCAGTGTATGATGATTTCGCGAACCCGACCGAGTTCGTCAGAGATACAGCGTGCTGGAATTCACCGTGGTGGCGGGCAGCCCTGAATCAGCTCTGACTAGAACCTAGAGCGTGTTTCTTTCTCGCTTTGGGCATACTGGGCATTATAGCCCCCCCCGCCTCCCCCTTTAACGTAACGCCCCTCCCCCCCAGTGCGCTCTGGGCACTGCCGCCGTGCGCATTGGGATCCCCATCGGCGTCCGCATAGGAATCCGCATAGGAGCCTGGTCCGCATTGGAAATCTCATGGGGATCCGCATAGGCATGCGCATGCGCATCTGCATAGGAATCCGCACGCCGCGTAAGGAGCTGCATAGGAATTCGCATAGGGATTCGCATGGCACTGCGAATGGGCATCCTCGTAGGCATCCGCATCGGGATCCGCATCGGGATTCGCATGAGCATCCTCATAGGGATCCGCGCATGGATCCGCATAGAAATCCGCCTTGGGATCCGCATAGGGATTCGCATAGGGACCTGCACTGGGATCCGCACAGGGATCCGAAATTGTGGTTTTGTGTTCCCGGTAACAACTATTTTTCTTCCTTCTGCTCCTCCCTCTCCTCCTCCTCCTTCTCCTCCTCCTCCTTCTCCTTCTCCTCCCCCTCGGAGGAGGAGGAGGAGGTGGAGGTGGCGGAGGAGGGAGGAGAGAAGAACGTCACATTCTATTATCAGCACTTCCCTGGCGTGGCGTTT